AGATTTGCCACTCGAGATCTCTTTCCCAGTACTGGTTCTGGCTGCTGGATTCCCTTCATCCACACTCATCATTGGAGTATGTTGGCTTGGGGTATTACAGAGGTTGCTTGGTTTTGTATTCCTGTAACTGGGTTTGAGTTTTACTCTTCTTGTATCATCTGTGACCTGCAGATGAATGATTTGGGTTGTCTATCTAGAATTTTTGCACAAATAACTGTAAAAAATTATGGTGGATGTCTCTTAATATATTTGGAGCAATCTTTGTTGGTTCCTCTTTTCTTTTTTGCTTGACAAATCTTTCTTTTGGCAGTTTTCACCAACATTTTTCAGACTTTCTTCAGGCTTCTCATTTCATTCCTTCTCTTTTTCTTTTCACTGTCTCTGTCTCTCTCAGTCAAGTTTTGTGGATTTTCCTGTTCCCTCTGAAGACTCCACTTCTCTCAGCTACCACAGTCTCTCCTCCTGTCTGGCTTTGCCTTGAGTTCCCTCACATTTATATGCATAAATGCTTCTTTCCCCTCACCTTCTGTCCTCTTGCAGGAAATGTCTTTCCACGCATTGGCAGGCACAGCACAAGGCACAAGAGGTGCCTGTGCCTCCAAATGGATGGCTCCTACACTGAACTGCTGTTTGTCTGCTGCTGTGCTTCCAGAGGAGCCTGCTGTAACAGGGAGGAATTCCTATCTGGGTTGGGTATTTGGCTGGAAAGCTGTAGTAGTGTTTTGAAAATAGAAGACAGTGTGAGAAAGGGAGTAAGTAACACAGGGAAGGCACATGCTCAGACTGCAAGTGGGGGTTCTAGCAGAGTTTCAGGATGGTTTTCAATTCAGTGGTGGCTTAAGTTTTCCTTGTGTCACTCATGTAGCTGTCAAGTCAGCAGAAACATCATTTTGGAGTGCACACACTGCTGAAAAGGTTAAGTGCTTGTATGGTATTTGAGGAGTTCGAGGTGGAAATGAAGTAATTATTTTATGTTTATCACTATATGGCCAGTACCAAAGCTGGAGAGTCCCTTCAATCAAAACTATTTTTTCTAGCTGGGGAGAAATTATTTCTCCTAAAACTTTGGCATTGTAGCAAGATTGGTGCAAATGTTGCTGGAGGAGTGGGACTGTACTTTTTCTCCTTGGGCCTTCTTGAAGGAGGTGATGCTCACTTCTTTATTCGTTGTTGTGTCTGTCTCTGGCTAATGAAAAAACGTCTTTTGCTTTTTATGTAGAGTGCTACCACATTGAAAGAAAACAGTGACAGCATAGCTGGTGTAAATCAGAAAACAGAGGAGGAAACTGAGAACAAATCAGAAATCTTGGACATAGCATCACAAGGTTAGTTTGGTTAGTTTTTATATGCAGCATTACAAAAGTACTTATTTAAAATATTTTGTTTTATTTCTATAGAAACATTGTGATAGACATCTCTGGAAATGGAAGAAAGTTTATAAATGTATTGATGTTTTGATAACACTTGTGTTTTGTTGACATTTCTATTAATGATTGTTAAATGCAGAGAGAAAACAGGGCAGATAGGAAAATGGATTTTGTCCTCACACTGTAATGTTCATGTTTATGTTCATGTTTATGTACATACTTACTATGTTTGTGTATGTTTGTGTATTACTGTGCATACATTTATGTATGTTTATGGGTGAGACAGACAATCCTTATGAATCTGCCAGGCTGTGTGTTGAGATTGACTTCCTCAGAAGAAAATTAGTCAAATGCATATAATGGTAGGCATGCAGGTAGTGTAGGTGGGACTGAGTATTACTTCCATATGTGCTTTAATCAAGATACTTGCTGATACACTTTGCTAAAAGATGGCCTAATTCTGGGAACTAAAACCGTTTATCTGTCCTACACAGAATCATAGAATGAATCATAGAATCATAGAATGTTTTAGGTTGGAAGGGACCTTAAAAGATCATTTAGGTCCAACCCCCCTGCGTGCACAGGGACACCTTCCACTAGACCAGGTTTCTCCAAGTCCCCCATCCAGCCTGGCCTTGAACACTTCCAGGGAGGGGGCATCCACAACTTCCCTGGACAACCTGTGCCAGTGTCCACCTCTAAGTGGACACCCTCACAGTGAAGAATTTCTTCCTAATGTCTAACCTAAATCTCCCCTCTTCCAGCTTAAAGACATAAGTTAAGTTACAAATTTCATCAACATTGTGGTGTCTTTTGGTTTAATAGGAGCAAGTTTTCTTGTACTGTTCAGCACAGGTGAACTGAACTGTACAGCCTTTTCCTTGTTTAAACAAAAACTAAAAACTTTCTGCTGAGCACAGTCCAACCAACCAGTTGCCAGACTAGATCCTAAAGGCCACCCAAACAAGGTGGTTTTCAAGGGAACTTCACAGGTTTCATTTGGAGGAATTTGCTATTTTATTTCTGCAAGGCTTTGAAAATCTCTGCCATAGTATTAGGTGAAATGTATGTGCACAGAAATGTGCTAATTATACCTGAATGCCTTCAAGCTTATTTGTCTGCTTTAATAAGGAGAGAAGGCTTATGAAACTATGCTTTCAATGGCATGCTCATCTTCTGCAAACCCTTTTATAAGTGAGTTTGAAAGGATACTCAGTTACCACAAAAACAAGAGGCCAGGTAGAAGAGAGGAAAAAAACAGGGAAAAGAGTGAAAGCTTCTGCCGTTCTTCTCTGAGTTTAACTTTGTTGAACTAGCGTTATGTTAATTTAGCTTGAGAGAATGAACAGTTTTGTTGAAAAGATGCTTAAATATTTTTGTATTATTGTCTTAGAAAGCAAGTTAAAGTGCAAGCTACTAGTGTGGCTGGTAGTAAAATGGTTCTTGCTTCCTGTTTTTGCATGGAATAACTGCAAAAGAACGTGGTGGTGGTATGTGAATACAGCAGAATAAAACCTCTGCATACTGCAACTAAACTTGACATTATAAAATTAACAACATTTTCACTTCTTTTTTTTTTTTTTAAAAAAAAAAAAGCTAGAAGACAGGTTTTTTTGAGATTATTCACTCTCTGAAGCCAAATTTCATAACACAATATCTTTTTTGTACATTATTGAGCACCTTTTCTTGCTCCCTGTCGACAGTAACTTCTGTCCTCCTGTAACATCTAGTGCAATATTATGGTTGAGTTTTGGGTTTTTTTAAAAAAAGAAAACATTTTGAGGCATTTTTGACCATGACATTGATGCCTTCTAATAATTTCCAAGTAATTAAAAGTTAAATTCATCCATATATGTAATATATACATATTTGTATGTAGAAAAGAATATTAACTTTCTTGGTTATCTTAAAATTTTGTTTCAGGCAGGTTAAATTTCTCTTGCTCTTCATAAATAACCTGTCTTTCATCTTCAGCATTTAATTTGTCTCATTTCTTTTCATAACAATACAAATGGATCTTACTAAACCTGTCCAGAATCTACTGTGTTTTATATTTGTGGGATTCTTCTGATTTAATGCTGTGACTAATTTTGTCAGTAAAACCTTATTATTATTGAAGCATTTTGAATTGATTGCAAAGTTAGAGCAGAGGTTAATCTGTTAAAAAAAACCAACCCCAGAAGTGCTTTGCGTTGTCCAGCCTGTGGCTTTCCCCACAAAACATTTGGGGAACACCAGTAGGTGGTGCTGAAATGCTGCATCGTGGAAAGGCACTTCAAGCACACGGGTTTTTTGTGCAAAAGTGGGAAATTTCAGTGCCTTATTTTAAGCACCACGTTAATTGGTGTCATTTGGTACATTTTTGTTTAGTTGAGGATCCAGCGACGCAGGAAGAGACGAATGGAAAAGAAGTGGCAATAACTGATGAAGCTCTTGTGGATTTCCAGGAGTTTGTGCTGGTGGGGGGTGTGTTCCACATCGAGGCACTGCACCTGCCACCTCAGGGGAAACGAGTCAAGGACTGGAGTATGGTGGAGGTAAGTGAAGAGGGAGGTCACACCCCATGCAGATGTCTTCCCTGTCACCCTTCAGGAGCTGTTCTCCAGGTGTGTCACCACCATATGTACACCCTGTACATGACTGATGGAGCAACAAGCTAAAGGACCACATTTTCAACTAATTTTTCAATCACACTTGGCTAATCTTTGGAGCAGTCCTGGAGAACAGATCAGCCTGCACTTAACCAGTGCTCATCAGCTTGGCTAGTACAGAGCAGTGTGCTGGCAGAATGCTCTTGGCAAAAGCAAAGAGAGAAGCTCTTATTTTTTTAGTATGTGAAAGGTACATTTAAAGAAGGATGCTGCTAAAACATACAGTTTTAGTGAAGTAGAAAACCTTTAATAAGTGAAATTCCCATGCAAGCTAAGAAGGTGGGACTGTGAGCAGATGGAGAGCACACACACCTGCATTACCAGTCACACGTGGCCTCTTTCATTCCCTTTGACACTGTGTGGACAAAGTGGCATTATATATATATTATTATATATATATTTTGCCTTTCAGGTGCTCTTGGGTTTTATTTGAGACTGTGGATCTATTGAAAAATTACTATGCCCAGTATGTCACATTGCCTTAAGGGTGCCACTGGCAGCACACAAAGGGATGAAAGGTAGTCACCCTTCTGCTGTATTCAACATTGTAGCTGCAAATGTGCAATATTAGCAAGCCATGACCTCTAATAGGTTTTTAAATGGTGTGTTGGAAACCTCCACAAGTGATTAGGTGGACTTAAAGAAAAAAAAGTAGACTGCTGTGTGTTCTAATAAGAATGTTCTCTCTCTTTTCCCTACCTTGCCAAAGCTAGTTGATGTTGGATTTGAGGCATACCCATATCCCCCAGAAGAGGATGAAGATGCCACCCATCCACCAATACAGATAACCCTTGTGCTTTCTGATAATGTGGTGTTTTTTGAGGAGCCTATGATTGCCCGGTGGGATCCTACAGGTACCAACTTAGGACATAAAACAGAAATTACAGCTGAGTTTGAATATTTTCAGAATCCAGCTGTAAAGATAAGAGCCAATTCAGAGCCCAGAAATAATGTGAGGACTGGAATATTAAATTAATTTGGGTTTGGTTTTTAGATTTGGTTTTTGTAATTTATTTTATTTGGGGGGGGGGGGGGGGTCTAATATGGACTGCTTGCTGAGGCTTTTTACTGTAGCTTTTTACTATGAATGGAAAAAATACACAGCATTTCATGGGCAGGAGTACAACTGTATGCCAGAAATCAAGTTTTGCTAGCATGAAGCCACATAAAATACACTTTAAGCCAAAATATCTCCTAACTACATATGTTGGTATTCAATTAAAATACAAAAATGAAATGTTAACCAGATTTGATATTCTATTTATGAGAAAAATACAACATACTTCTGACTTTACATTCATGAAAGAATAGAGCTTATTAAAAGGGTTTGGTCTTTGAAGTTATTGTTGAATATGGGCTTGTGGACTGCTATAGAATAGGTGTACAATGCCAGTTACATTAGTATTGGTATTTCTTTAGAGATTTAGGAGAAGCTGTTCTGTCAAAGATACCCAGTCTTGTACTTAAAGACAATTAGACTGAGGGAAGTCTTTATCTGAAATGAATTATCTTTATTTTGTGCCTAGTATTTTAGCTTAACTCTGAATATTAATGAACCAATGATGTCTTTACCAACTGCTTCCCCAGCATGTATCACATGCTTTACATACTCAGCTTTGTGTTTTTTTGCATCCCTCTTGTAAAGGCCAACAGTGGAGAACTGATGGTATCAGCAACATAAAGTATGGGACATCAGAAAAGAGTGTCACCTTTGAGATGGGCACCTTTCACACCATAGCCCTGCTCCAGGATGCTCATCTCAACATGCCCTATCAGGCATGGGAACTGCAACCCACTGGTACAGATGAAGCACTACTTCTAGTTAAAACATTCTTTGCAGCAGTTCAGATACAAATTAAGGTACTGGAAATAATTTTTTTTAAAATAAAACATTTGCAGGTTTAAAGAGAGTATTGGATTATTGCACTGTACATTAGTAAGAATTTGGGATGTTTCCACAAGAGCAAGTTGAAGCTCACTCTTGGTGTGCCTGCTGTGCTGTAGCTCATGCATGCCATATCCAGAACAGCAAAGATGTTACTATTAATAGTTGATACCTGAAGCAGAAAAAAAGCTTTCACAGCCAGTAAGATGCTTTCCCTGGTTTGTACAACAGGGTAATCAGTGTATGTTGTCTTCAGTAGTGGTGGAAGAGAAGCAGGTACTTTCCCACATGACAGGAAAATGGCTAAGTCCACTGGAGCTAAGAGCAGTTTTGATAAAGGCTGGTGTGAATATTTTCCCAGGAGAGCATTCTCACAAGTATGTCCCTGTGAATAAGAAGGTAAGTACACCTAGTTTTCCTGTAGTTTTTTTCCAACCTATTTTTCATGTAGGTAACATTTTCTTGTATGACCACTAGTTGTGCAGAATCAGGTGGCAAGTACACAAGGGTCCTGGCACCTTTGCCAGTGGAGTCTGCTTAAAGCAAATTTTTTCTTACCTTTTTACAACACAGGATGTTAGACTGAATTACAGATGTATTTTCTACCTTGTACTTTTGTGTTACAGGCTCCCCTGACAGAAATTAAGGCATATCAACAGCTGGCACTGCTTGTGTGTGCTTTTGCTTTTGCCTGGAGCAAGTGGAATCAAGAAGCAGGTGAAGAGCAAGTGGTGTTCAAGGTTTGTGACTTTAGACTAAACTTCTAGGAAAAAACCAGCACAGCAGTCAAATGCAGTTAAAGAGAGAGAGGCTATTAACTTCTGCAAGTTACACTCATCTCAAACATTGTCTTCCACCCTGCCTGCAGCACTCTTAGTGCAGCAGTTTTAAGATTTAGGGTTGGCTACTTAGCAGTGTTCAGTGCATGTTCAGTAAAGCTTTAAAGCCTGCTTCTCCCCTGCCTCACAGCTCCTGCTGTTTGAGATCTCTAATGGGACAGAATAACAAAGACACTTGCTAATGTGCTAGGATGTGTACTTGGCAGGTCAGCTGTGAAGGCTTTAGCCCAAGCTGGGGTGATAAGCTGGATGCTGATGTTCATTATGAAACCCACTATAGCTGGATAGCCATCTGATCTGTGGGTTTTATTAACTAATAACTGGAAATTTCTTCTTGTCTGTCTGGGTTTTCATTTGTTCCATAGTGTAAGGAAGGAATAAACAGCTGAAGTTTTGATTTAAACAGCTGAAGTTTTGATTTTTTTTTGCAAGCTGACACACATGCAGTTGAAACTTCTCTGAAACCACAGAAAATACTTCCAGGTGGTTGGGGTTGTAGATACAGAACATACCACTGCTGAAATCATGACATACTCTCTCTCACTCTCTCTTGAGCTAAATGCATGTGACATACAAATATTTAACCTAACAGTCCCACAGCAAGAACTGAAACAAATGATGCCTGTTGCACAGATCTACTCTCTACAGAGAAGTCAGGAGCAGAAGGAAAGCTGGAATGACCAATCCTTGCATTTTAGAGACAAACTAAACATCAGGTTTTGACACTGATACAGTACCTGATACACAGTCTCATGGACACAGAGGGTTTTGAGGAGTTCAAAGCACCCTGGTGTGTTTCCATATGACATATGAGTATACTAGAATTTAGAATTTCAGTCTAGAATTTATACCCTCTGTGTCATGAATTTCATCTTGCAGTGCATTTCTTTTTTCTGCAATAGGTAAGTGAGCATCTTAAAGCAGGTCCTGTCAAAGCCTGGTCTCTTTACCTATTTGATGGTGAGAAAGCACAAAAGCTCAAGATCACAGAAAACAGTGAAGCTTTTTCCGAAGAGCTAGAAGAAGAATCTGAATTTCACTCCACACTCTATCATATGCTGAAAGACTTTGCCAGCAAAGAAGCAATGGATAAAGTGGAAACAGCAGGCTTCCTATTCACTGATGTTGTGTATCAGCTGCTCCTTGCTACAAGAGTTTTAGCATACTCTTAAGCACTTCTTGCTTTCCTTTAAAACTTTATTATCAAAAGCTTTCAATAAAGTTACATTTGAAAACTTAAATCCTTTTCTATTCAAATTCTTGGAACAGCTTCAGTGACTAAAATGCAAACATTCTATTTTTCTTGCAGCAAAATAAGTTCTTTATTCTTTTGTGGCTAGACCACTTAGTCATATTTATTGTTAGCTATGTTCAAAATCAAAATCACTAACTGTTTTATTGTAAACCTGAATAGAACAAAGATCCTTTTAGGTACTTGTAAAGATGACTTTTGTCAGAATGGGGGTTGAAAAAAAAACAACCCCAAACAAACAAAGTAGTATTTTTCAATTTCAAGTCATGCTTTAAAAAAAAAAAAATCATCTCCCCCAAAACACCCACATCCCAAGAAAACAAACCCAAATAAGTAACCTTAAATATGTTATCTCAGCTTCTCAAACTGTCATCCAGAACTTGGAAGTAGAGCTATGGAAGACAGAATCTTTGTTATACTGGGGGTGGTCCGTTGTGTTGAAGTCCTGTATACGGCCACAACAGTTGCTGTAGTGAAGTCCAGGAGTCCCCAGTTCCAACAGGTGCTGCATCTGCTGGTCTTTGAAGAGACAGCCCAGTGAGGAAGCTTGTAAGGGCAGCAAGCAGCACCAGGATGGAAACAGAAACCCAGAGAGTTTTGTTAGCGTTGGAAAAGGTGGTCTTGAAATGGGACGCCCACGATGACACTAAATTGCACCTGCACAGAAGGGCAAATCATAGCCTGGGTCAGTTTTTCTTCAAAACTTGGAAGCCCTTTTCCCACCTCTCTCCCCCACCCCAAAAAGCCCTAAAGCAAACCAGACCCCACAAAGAAACCTACAGACAGATCCTTAACTACCACAATGGAGAAGCTTGTTCCTGTGTGGGGAGCTCTGTGCAGTGGTAGCTTGTGCTCAGGGTTTAAAATGCAGACTTCTAGTAAGCAAACTCTTGACTAGCTATTTAGGTGACTGACCCAACTCTCAAGTCCAGTCATGCTCCCTGTACCATACACTGTTTCTGAAGATTCACAGAAGTTGGCATGTTCTTCAAGACATCTTGTTTGTAGAACAATTAAACATAAGGCCAGTATTTTCAGTGTTTTATAGGGTTTTGGTGCCTTCCCTGAGGTTAGGGAGAAGCCTTTCTCCCACTGGCTCCCACCCTACAACCTCTCATGACATTGGGTACCTCCATCCTTTGACAATAGAAAACATTTCTTTTTGCTGTTTTCTCAGTTTTACACACTTGTCACCCCCTTCATCAGGGATGACCAACAGTGGAGACTCAGGTGTGGGATATTCATATGCAATAAACAGTTCCTCTGCAGAGAGCAAGGCAAGGACTTCCACAAGATACTTGTTCAGGACAGCACATTGGCCCTGACTCAAGATATGAAAAAAAATTAAACAATCTGGAGTTAGTCTTGATGACTACTTGTGTCTCAGTGTGCTCCAAAGCTGCTGTTAAGCTTTGTGTAGGCCTCAACCCCTTGTTTTTCACAAGAGGAAAAGTCAGCATGAGCTAGTGGCCTAGCTAGAGCAGCTGTCACAGAGGAATGAAAGGGGGTGGGATCACAGCACTAGGCTTCTCTTTCTCTCACCATTAGGATGAGTAAAGAGCCCTGGCTGAGGTGTGGCACCTCACATTACTCATTCCCAGGTGAAGTCAGCATTAACAACCCAATCAAACCTGCTGCTTTGTTTCACCTTCCCATGGTCACCACCCAAACACAGCTGTACCTGATGATGTGAGAACACTTACGCTGACTCCAGGTTCCATTTCAATGAATGTTTTCCTTTTTCAGAGATACTTTCCTTCCTTGATGGCTCTTCTTGTACTTCAGCAGGCAATTCCAGCTGCTCATCTCTGTAAGCAAGCATCAACAGTTCCAAAGCTTTGCCATCCAACATTCTGTTTGACAGAGCTCACAAATAGCTTCACTTGATAGCTCTGATCAGGTGGGGGGCAGTTGAGAACTCATTAGCAGGAACCCAACCAACCCTCCACACACACACACCTCACAGGAGGTTGCTGTTGAACTTACTTTGCTTCAGGATGTTGCTCTTCATAGTCGGCCCAGGAAAACGTGCTAATGAACCTCTGCAGGGAAGGACGCTTCTCGTTTGGCTTTGCTCCCAGTCGCCCCCTGTGGTATTTTAGAGATATTTGCCTCCATTTCCCCATAGCAGAAAATGATAGAAATTCAGCAGCAGCCTATCTGTTTTGCTAGGTCTGAGGTAAGTTTCAAGATCAGTTACCTGAAACTAGGATAGTTTTGTTGTGTTTTTTTTTTTAAAAAAAAACAAGAACAAACAACAAAACCCAAACAGACACTCAACAAAACCAGACCCATCAATATGAGCTGTCTTGATTTCATATTTTAGTGCTAAAGCAAGCAAGTCCTGGGAATTTTTTAAAACTGTCAGCCATTAGTAAATAAAAGAACAGCTGCAACATTTAGCCATAAGGACTCCTTTACCTATTGAAGCATGTAAAATAATAAACAATAAACAATAATAATACCTCAAGATGCTCCATAAGCTACTTAATGACAGGCACAGATAGAGTTGACAACTATTAAACCCTATTCCAAGACAAGCCAAAGTAACTTTACCAGCTGCTGGTTCTCCTGTGGAACTTGTCACTCCGTTCATCTCCATCAGGTTCATGGAGTTGGGCCTGGAGAAGTTTAACACTTCACTGCGTTGGCATTTTCATCTTTCAACCCAGCCAGTTTTGAGAAGGTAAAGTGCCTCACCATCTGGGAACCCTTACTTACCAGTGGCACCCCAATACCTGCATTTCCAGCACTCCTAGGCAAGGCTGCAATGCTAACTCTCCGAAGGGCTGAGGATGGCTATACAAATAAGAGGCATTACTGACTCTATCAAGACATGACTGGATTACTCACTGTTCACATAAAACACCATCTGTTTTTATACAAAATGTATATAAAAAAAATAGATGTTGATACTTAGTTTGAAGTGACACACAGAGAAGAATCAAATTACAAGTGCAGCCCAAAGCATATTCTTTAAAGCAGCAGCTTTCCACATTCATTGCTCCCTTCCACCACCCCCCCGCCCCTCCCCAAGCATTTGAAGTGAGACTGGCTACACAGCTTCCAGCAAAACACCAAAATTACATGTGCCTCAATTCTCCTAATGGTGCTTACAGAAATTCCTAGTCATTTTTTCTAGCCTCCATCTATTTTTTTCATCTGTGTGCTGAACCCTTCTTCTGTAGCCCCAAGGAGAGAATCCTGCATGAACAGTATTTCTTAAGCACTGCATGAGACCACAGCCATTTCAGCTTCTGTGAACACTTCAGCTTCTAGATGCGACCACATGCTGTTCCCTCAGGTTGGTGGGGTGACTGAAGAAAATGTATCCTCCTTTTTGATTGCATCAGCCCATATTTGAGACAGAAAGTTACCAAATCAAGCAGGTAGCAGAGCACAGTGCATGAGGAGACAAAGAAAACCACACAAACACACACACATAAACCCACACTTGAAGTATCATGTTAAGCTGTAACAGTCGTTACCTTAAAGTTAAAAGAATTTGGTAGCTTCTTGTTCATAGATTCATCTGTGAAGAGATTAAAAACCAGAAAGGCTTAACAAGAATGCAGTGAGCTGTATTTGCAACCAAAGGTCTGAATTTCACAGTAACTGGTTAAGTGAGGAGTGTATCAGAGTACTCTCCAAAAGCAGAAAGGTGATTTCAGGAAAAAGCTTTGTGTCATTAGATAAATTCATCATATTCACACATATGCATCTTCTACAAGCACCAGCTTCTGTTGCTGTCATTAAATGTATTATCCTATTATTGAGGTAGTCTCCTGTTAAAGGACAATCTTTTACAGTCAGGAAGGAATAACCCATGATTCAGAAGGCTCCTGTGGGGGTTTTACCAGTGTGCAAGATTGCCCTTTCTGTTTTTAAAGTAAATGCTCTACATTTTAGAAAAAATTAACCCTTCTCTGGCAAAGCCACAAGTGCACAGCACCATCTGAAAAACCTGACCACTGTACCATCTGCTTAGACAGGGAAGTTCAGAGCACTGGCATGGAAGGAGACTGCAATTCATATTCAGAAAAAAGCAGGGCATGAGGCATCGGCAGAGCACAGCCAAAACTCAGCTACCAAGAAACTGCACTGAGATTGTTTTAGTGCGAGTGAGCACGTGAATGTATTGCTCCCAAGAAACAAGATTGTCACCACCACATGCAACACACTTTTCTGAAAGCCAGAACATTACTACACACTTGCCATGTTTCCCCCTGCCAAGGCTCATGGCAGTTAACATACACATCTAATTTCACAGAATCACAGAATCTTAGGGGTTGGAAGGGACCTCGAAAGATCACCCAGTCCAACCCCCCTGCCAGAGCAGGGTCACCCAGAGCACATCACACAGGAACGTGTCCAGGTGGGTTTGAATGTCTCCAGAGAAGGAGACTCCACAGCCTCTCTGGGCAGCTTGTCTCGGGGCTCTGTCACTCTCACGGGAAAGAGGTTCTTCCTGATATTCACATGGAACCTCCTATGCTCCAGTTTGCACCCATTGCCCCTTGTCCTATCACTGGTCATCACTGAACAAAGCCTGGGTCTGTCCTCCTGACACTCACTCTTAACATATTTGTAAACATGGATGAGGTCACCCCTCAGTCTCCTTTTCTCCAAGCTCAAGAGACCCAGCTCCCTCAGCCTTTCCTCATTTCAGACAATTGTTTCCAATACTGTCAGTAAATTGCTACCTTTTCTTCTATTTTAGGAAAGATGATACAACAGTCACCTAATCTGTTAAGCTTCATTAGATAAGGGTCTGTCTGGCAGGTGCTATGAAGAGGAAAGACAAAGCAGCTTTACCTCGCTCTCCAAGAGAACTGAAGGACCTCTCGTTCTGCAGCAGGACCTGCTTCAGCTCCTCAAGTTCCGCGTGCTCTTTCGCGTACATGCGCTTCAGGTTTTCCACATGTTGAATCATGACTTCCACAGCCTTGCTGACACGGCTCTCCTGACAGAGTGCAACAGCAGTAAGACAGAGCAGCAGCTCTTTGAGGAACTGCATCATGTTCAGAGCACAAGACTTACCCCCCCCCACCCTTGATCATCTGCTCTCATCTTGTGTCACCGTGATGCAACATCCTCTCATTTCTGTCCACCCTTTCAGAGTTTCACTAGAACCCACCTCTCAACTCATGCCCAGGTTGCACAGGTCTTATTTCTCCAGTGATTACTGGAGAAGTAGTTTTCATTTTCTGAGCTCTCACAACTCCTCCTCATCTCTTTCTCTGATCTACAGTCTCAGCTGCCACCACGCATTTACTAGTATTGCCAAGTCATATTTTCATGCTGTTCTTTGGCATTATACACAAGTCATACTTAACATTCAAGCAGGTCTTTGTAAATTTCCATAGATTTAACTTATTAGCTGCATTTTCCATAGACCACAGAATGACCAGTAGAGCATCAAGACTATGGTTACAACATGGCATTCTTGTGCTCTCTACTGCATACATTCCTTTGGTGCAAAGTTGTTTTTTTCTCTGGATTTTTGCTTGTTTGGGTTTTGTGGTGTTGTTTTAAGCCAGGGCCATATTTCTGTTGTGTGTTTCCAAACATGGATGAGGTCACCCCTCAGTCTCCTCTTCTCCAAGCTCAAGAGACCCAGCTCCCTCAGCCTTTCCTCATTTCAGACAATTGTTTCCAATACTGTCAGTAAATTGCTACCTTTTCTTCTATTTTAGGAAAGATGATACAACAGTCACCTAATCTGTTAAACTTCATTAGATAAGGGTCTGTCTGGCAGGTGCTATGAAGAGGAAAGACAAAGCAGCTTTACCTCGCTCTCCAAGAGAACTGAAGGACCTCTCGTTCTGCAGCAGGACCTGCTTCAGCTCCTCAAGTTCCGCGTGCTCTTTCGCGTACATGCGCTTCAGGTTTTCCACATGTTGAATCATGACTTCCACAGCCTTGCTGACACGGCTCTCCTGACAGAGTGCAACAGCAGTAAGACAGAGCAGCAGCTCTTTGAGGAACTGCATCATGTTCAGAGCACAAGACTTACCCCCCCCCACCCTTGATCATCTGCTCTCATCTTGTGTCACCGTGATGCAACATCCTCTCATTTCTGTCCACCCTTTCAGAGTTTCACTAGAACCCACCTCTCAACTCATGCCCAGGTTGCACAGGTCTTATTTCTCCAGTGATTACTGGAGAAGTAGTTTTCATTTTCTGAGCTCTCACAACTCCTCCTCATCTCTTTCTCTGATCTACAGTCTCAGCTGCCACCACGCATTTACTAGTATTGCCAAGTCATATTTTCATGCTGTTCTTTGGCATTATACACAAGTCATACTTAACATTCAAGCAGGTCTTTGTAAATTTCCATAGATTTAACTTATTAGCTGCATTTTCCATAGACCACAGAATGACCAGTAGAGCATCAAGACTATGGTTACAACATGGCATTCTTGTGCTCTCTACTGCATACATTCCTTTGGTGCAAAGTTGTTTTTTTCTCTGGATTTTTGCTTGTTTGGGTTTTGTGGTGTTGTTTTAAGCCAGGGCCATATTTCTGTTGTGTGTTTCCACATGGTGCTAGTACAATGTAGCTGGTGCCTCAGTGCCTGGGATTCCTTCTAACATCACAAATCTGAGAAGAGAAAGCCAGGACTAAGCTGTACTGGTCAGTCTGCATTATATACACAAAATTCCCAAATCTGACTTTGGAATCAGAAGCCTAAGAAACAGACACTCCTCTCCTTTTACATCCAGAAGCTTTTGACTTGGTGTAAAACAGGTTTACATGGAAACAGTTACCTGATTAATAGCTCCCAACATCTCTGCTCTACTGGCGACTCGGGCTGCATACTGGCTAAGGTACTGCAGGCTTTTCTGCAGCTTCTTAATGATCTCCTGTGCTTGGTTATCTTCTTCACACAAAGGAGCTAAAGCCTAAGAGGCATATAGGCAAGAAAAAAACCTGAGCTATTAGTAGGTAAAAAATGGTGAACTCAGCTGATGACAGAGAATTGTGTTCACGCCCACACAGTCAAACCACCAGCATCCAACATCCTCCCTCAGCGTAACTGGATACAAACCTCCAGTGTATTTACCTAGCATAAAATCACCTGAAGAGATGGGTTCTTGCCAGAAGTTTGAGCAACAGAAAAATTCCCCATTACCTGGGTGCACACAGAATAAGGTAACCCCTCAAAAGCTGTCTCTCATATTTCAGTTGCATCACTCTGGAACTTTGGTCAGATTTGCTTATCACACACACAGAGAAGGCCTAAAAGGAGCAGTATTAAGGGAGACACTTTCACAAGCATTTATCCCACCCACCCTACCAGCCTTGGCCAATACTAACCTCTAACATCTTTAGAGCATTTGTGATCTCCTTTTTCAAGTTTTCCTCAGCCAAGTCTCGGGACCTTTCTTCAAGCCTCACTCTCTTGTCCAAGGTAAACAAGTCACATTTAAAACCTAAAGACAACCTCAGAAATTCTGCCTGCAGTGGGAGGGAAAAGGATTTCAGAATAACCCAGGTGATGCAGAAGCTTTTGAAGTGGGTTTGGATACTGACATTTAGGACTACGCAACACAGTTATAAGAGAGATACGGAAGAGAAAACAAACACGACCCACTTCTGCAAAGCCAGGCTTCCCATCTGTAGTGAAGGGGGAAATTATCTGCAGCCAGAATAGGTCATATCCTGGCAGCACGCAGGGTACCATCTGTGTCTTTTGACAATAGTCTCTTAAAATCAGCACATTCTGCCTGGGAGATGGTCACAGCTACACTCCCTCAAGCTTGTGAACACATGTTTTAGTAGTGACAAGTCTTTTGTTTTACAGACTGCCACCTTTTGCCATCCCATCCTTTCCAAGATCACCATTGGGCTTGGGAAGAGAGATTTCAGAAGCAAACTTACAGAAACATCCAGTTTAAGCCATTCAGGGTAATTCTTTTATATGGGACAAGGTATTAATGAGAGTGTACAGACAAGATCTTTCAGTTGTCTGAAATGTTTGAGGATACAAGTAGTCAAGACTTACCTCCACTTCTTTCTCATTAGGAGAGTCCCTGTGGGATAAGAAGCAAAAAATGTAATGAACTGCAGCTTTAAATTCATAGCTGCAGGTGTTCATTGAAAGTTAACACACTTACGGCTCATTTTGCTTTGTTTTGTCTGCTTTAATGCCACCTGCAATGGGTGAATTCCCTGAGAAGAGAGGAGAAAAAAAAAAGTTCTCAAACAAAAGTGAAAAAAACAGGCTCCCTGAAACAGCTTGTGAAAGTCTTTTAAGCTCCAACAGAAGCCACTCTTAAAGACTCCCAGTGTGAGGCTCTGCCAATAAAAACATGCGGACCTCGGAGTATGTCGGGGTTAATGTCAGTAAGACAGCACAGCACTGTCACTTGTACAAAGCTCCAAAAGTTTGTTGCTTAGTTGGCTTCAACTGACATTTAATTAGTACAGGAATGGCTAATTATAGGCCTTGGTTTAGGTCCCCTGTCCATAGGTTCAGTTTGTGAAGTGACTTACTACATCTACTACTATCTCAGCCAACTCAAAAGGCAAAAGATGACTGGAAGAGTAGAGATGCCTCAACACACTTCAGTAGAAACATCATCCTGCTTATGCTATAATTTTACCCCAAGCTCCAGATAACAGAGAATGGTGCTTTAAAAATCTTTTGGAAGAGTAGGTATGCCAAAACTCTCTCAAGTATCCCAACTCCTTCATAACTCCCAAGAAATTTTCCCTCAGTCTAGAGGAAGATGGAGCCAGTTAGATCAGTATCTGTAGAAATCAAAGGAGCAGGTTTTGCATGACAGTATTTTCTTTCTCTCCACTGCTAATCCATTTTGATCCCTATCTGCAGCTACTATTCCTCAAAGCAAAATTTCTCATAACTTGTGTGGGGCAGGCAGCTCTCTGCACCTCTTCACACAGCTCTTGACACAGTGAACAAGGCGTGCACCCCAGTGAATTAATTGAACGTGTTCAACAGAAACCTCTTACCTTTCCTACTGGGAGCCACAGTTGGTGTTATCTCATGCTGCTCTTTATTATTTTTCTTCTCCTGGTCCACCTCCTACAGGCACACCAAAGAGTACTTACAGCAAGGGAACAGCCACACCACCACCACAGGGGCCGGTCCCCTACAGCAGTGTTCTTTGTCACTGCTCAGCCAAACCAGTTCTATGTTTCACTGTCACTAGGACTCTTACCAAATCTTGCTTTAAAACACTTTGAAGTGCAGACTTGTGTTCTTCCATCACAGGGCAGAATTCCTTCTCGGTCAGATCCTCTCCTGGGGAGAAACATTCCCAAACCCAAATGTAATGACAAAACCAAGGCAGGTCTCCAGCACTCACTGTACCAGCCACCGACCAACAGGGCTAAAAGAAATTGCAGTAAATACCAGGAGAAGGTATTAAGAAGGAAAGGGAGCAGCAAAGAACACTATAAAAGGAAGAAGTAAGATGATAGTTAACTTTGCCTTTGAAAAAAATCCCAATAAATAGTGCTACATGCCTAGAAGTGAGAATATTAATCCTGGTTGTAGTTGGTTTAGTTGAGGTTGCAAGAGTTACAGTAATGTTCCCTTGGATAAGTAACTGCTGTTATTTTGCATGGGATTTTTTGTTTGCTTGCTTGCTATTTAAAGAGACAGCTTATAACTGAATTTTATTTGGAGTTCTGGAAGCACAGGAACATGTTAAAAAACAACCACCACAAAACAAACTCATGCACAAATTATCAGGAGATATGGCGAGTGTGATTCTTTCTCTTTACAAAGTCTCAGTGAAGAAATAGATTCTGCCTCAGCTGTCATTACAGAGGAGCTTGAGCACAGCCAGGGAAATGAAGACAGTTGTGGTAAATCAGGTGTCCATAAACTTAAAAAAAATAGTCTGACCCATAGACTGTCCTTTGTATCTAAAAACTGAACCAGCAGGGTGCTGATAAAGCCAAGAAAAGAACTCTCCCAGATAAGCGTTGATGGACTGATAACTTCAGGAATTTATATGATGTTAGTTCAAATGCAACACAAGCTTTCAAGTTAAAGCAGGCAAAAACACTCTCCAAGAAGACAGCTATTTAAAAAGGCAAATATTTAAGAAACTGGAGGAGGTCTGAGAGTCAAACCACCTTGAAACTTTAAGGGGTTATGTTTGATTTTGAAGTGCTTTCTCTTTTCATTCCTCAACGTGAACAACCACCTCTGCTTAACACTCCCTTTTGTCCGTGCTGATTCGTGCAGCAGGTCTACATATCTGACCTGGCTCCCAATCACCCTTAGAAACACCTTGTGTGGTACTAGCCAAAACCACAAGTGAAGATTCTTCAGTGCCTCTGTTTTGGTACTAAAAATACTTTCTATTCAGAGATGAACAGGCAAAGCACACATGAAAATCAACAGTAGAGGCAAATTAGTAAAGGAAAATACATTTAGGTGAGGGGACAGAATTAGATTTCAGGAAGACAGTACTAGAGAAAGAAACAAAACCAAACAAGAAATAATGACTGTCTTATATTTAGAGAAAGGTTAAAAATGGTTAGAAAACAAGCATGCACAGGTGTTCTGTGCTGTTTAACCAGATTAGGGTTTTTTTAATATAATAGCTTAAATGCACAATGTACATGTGCTCCAGTTTAGTTTTTCTTTTAGCTCTTAAGCACAGAATCTGGTGAGAATACTTCTGGGTCTTTCTGCAAAAGGCAGAACCATAAACAAAGGCCTCTATCCTCGTTTCTCCTTTGACCCAACCCAGCTGCTTGTGTGCTGAGCATCAGTTTTGAAAGAGAAAAAAGTGTTATTTAGTCTAGCTGCATCACTACATTTTTTAAAACCACAAAAACATTCTCTCTCCTCTCAAAACTGCCTGGAGTTTAGCACACCCACAATGTTTTGCCAGCTGAGCAAGCACCAAGATTTCACTAAGTCACTTCACGGTTACTTCTTGCTACCGGCCTCTTGCAAGCAGGTAGAGCCTTATCCCTACTCAGCATTTTAGGGAAGGCTGAGAGCACTGGCAGGCAAATGTTATGTTCAGCAACAGAAAAAATAAAAATAAATAAAAAAATCACCAGCTCTCATCATGTAATTTTTCTTACTCAGCTTCCTCCCTTCAAAGCTGTGCTGGGAGCAGGCTGCTCGTGCCAGCGTGTGCCAGCGCGCCCTGCAGCGACGGTACCTGATACGGGACCAGCCAGATCCTTATCATTGTTTTTTTCCATAGCTACAGAAGTTGGCACAGCTTCCTCTTCTTCACGTGAGTGCTTGGGTGATTTCTCTTCCATGACAAGGCAGCCTAGAAATTCAGGCAACAGAAGACAGAGCTCTTACTGCTCAACAAATAGTGGAGACTCGTTCGTATCTGTTTCTAAGACTCTCAGTGCAAAACGTTCACACATCTGTGCCCCAGATGAAGGGTTTACCTGTTACTGGTGCAGTGCTTTCCAAAGAGGATGCAAGAGCTTCTCTGGGTGGAGTTAAGCAATCACTGTCAAAATAAAACTCTTTCAGATACTCATCCATACTATATGATCTTGGTAAAGGCTTTCAAAAGCTTGCACAAAACCTGACCTGGATGAGAGCAGACTGGCTGGTAGTGTTGGCTCTGCACAGTCAATCTGAATGGAAAGAGAGGAGAATTAGCATCAGGGAAAGGGGTTGTCACACAAGTAGAAGATTTCTATGTCAGTTTTAATAATTGCCCCATCTGTGCATAAATTTTTTCAGCAGTGAAGAACTAGATGGTAAGTGCATGCAGATTCATCTGCTAGTCTAAAGGCACCCATGCACAGGCTGCAGCTCAGCACATTATCATCATTAGGAGTGATAACTACATTTCTGCAGAAGTCTTATCTCAGGAATGTCATGCTAGGAGACGTGGTTTGGTTTCTGGCTTCATGTTTTGCCTCTAACACACATTTTCCAAAGACTAACATACATGTTACCCCACCACTGTTCTATCTTCATGTTGTGCATCAAGATAGATCATTTTTAATGACCTCAAGCCCCATAAATGAGATGCATAGAGCTTCACTTGGCTGTAGATACATCACCCTGCCAGGTAAAAGAGTGCATTGCTATTAACAGCTTGACTGAGCACAGGATTTGGAACACAGAAAACTTGCATGTTCTGTTGTACATTTTAGCATGAATTTGCATGCCACAGGTTTTCAATATGATGGATAAGAATTATCTAGACAGTTCAGAAAGCTTCAGGCCTTCTCTTTTGTATGCAAAAAGCAGAAAGGAACTCAGCAGTTGAAGGCTGATATGCAGTTTTGCTCACATTCCTTTAGCTGCTTGTGTGGGTCTGGACCAGAGTCTTATCACATCACAGACAAAACCAACATCCCCCTAAGTCTTTTACTATGGCAAGAGACATACTGAATGGGAAAAACACCCTCTTCCTCATTCCACCCCAGATGACTCCAGCTTGCTTATTCAATTGATAGGTTGGTCTCTCTTTATGGGTGAAAAGAAAGGGTGACACAGAGGTTTGAGAGGTTAAGTCTGTAATGACTTGCGATGAACTCTACCCTCTGCTGAAGAGGAGTGCTGAAAAGAAAAAACCCAACCCAAACCTATCTCCAAGCACAGAAGGTATGAGGCTACCCACTTTGAGTAGCTCCCTACATGCCAAGTGTCCAAGATGATTGCTGAACTATGTGGTGATAAAACAACAGGAAAAAAACTATGTCAGTGAGTGATCATCGTTGTTGTGGTGTCTTCCATTCCCCCCAAGCACCCTCAGAGGACCTAGGAAGCCAGGCAAAGTTGAAAAGGAGGTGACCAAGGCCACCAGTCACTTCTGAGAGCAACTTACTGCTCCCAGTATCAGTAAGTGCCTTCTCTCTCTCCTCTCTACTCTTCCACCCCTGAAAGCTGCACCCACAGAGCCTTGCCCAGGCCAGACGGATGTTTCCTCTGATGCAAATCCAAGCTATTTTTATTCTTATTTGAATTCTCTATTAAGCTGAAGGAAGTACAGCATCAAATTTTCCTTGTTCAGGCCATTAGGTCTACAGGAGTATTGGGGAAAGAGAAGGTGAAAATGTAGAGATGTTGGAATGAAAACAAAAAGTATCTAAAGGACTTTTAAAGCACACAGCCCACACACCACCCAAACTTGCATCACCTGGAACAGGCTAGATCTATACACAATTCTATATGCCCTCTCCCTCCCCAAGTCATCACACAGTCAGTGTTTTCTGCTTTCAATGGATGAAAATCCTCAATTCAGTATTTTAAAAGCCATACTGACTATTGGGAGGTCCCACGGATGGCACAGGGACTAGAGCCAACAACCTCCCCACATACATGATCTAGATATCCTAGTAAAGTCTTAAGGCCCTTTAAGAACAGGAATTATTTGTTTTCTTAATAAAAGGATTGTGTCAAAGATGATCCTGCAGTACAATCCTATTCACTTTTTCCTCTTCCATCACTTCAATTAACACAGTAATCCGAGAATCCTCTATCACAACAGCCAAATTCTGGGCACAGTCTTGTATAATCCCTCCCAAACAAGCACTAACATTTAGAAGGCCTATCATCTGGTTTTCAGCCTGTGATATAACTTTCATATTCATAAATCAAAAACACAAAAAGCTCAAGCTTCATCTGGCTCTCACAAGTGCTCCTTCAGAAATACCCCATAAGTTCCTACAATGACAATTTGGTGAAATAATTTTAGTTACTTACATGCTGAAGGGCTTGATCTGCTCAAACACACCTGCAACCACAGTGTAATAAAAAAACCTAGGGAGACTTTTCCTACTAAACAAGGATATTCAAATTTTACTGTGCGTCACAGGTTGTAGAACAGATACTGGACACAGCCTGTTTAACTTTCCTCTGGGGCAAGCTTTACCATTTTCATTTCCCCTCTCCAGAACATAGTACATTTCTATAAAAAAACCCCATAAAATTAGCAAAATGGAAAGTGACACTTCTGAGCCCAGCTGGGGTTAGAGAGATCTCCAGACCAATGAAGCATTTCAAGCAACTTTGCAAGGCTGTGAGTTTCCAGAAGGACTGGGTAAAGCAAGAGCTGTTGAGATTATCCTCTTTAAGGTAGCTGAAGTAGCAGCAGCACATGCTAGGAATTCCTCACCTGCTTTGCTGTGTGCTGAAACCACAGGCAATCTCTGCCACTTTTACTTTTCACCCTCACTACATTTTATGCCTTGATTTGCTGCTACAACCAGACCACTGCTGCACTTGGCAGGTACCACACACCAACTGGCTTGAGGTTGCCTGGTCATCAGTCTTGAAAAGGTTGTTTCCAGGATCACAGAAACCACTGACCAATATTCTTCCATCATCACCACCAACACTGGAGTTATTCAAACTAATTAGAAGCTCCATGTGGTGGAGCTGAGGTTTCTGTTTCAACAATAAGGGCACAACTAGGTGTGCTGAGCTGCAGCTCATCTTGCTGCTGCCACGAGAAAGCCAACTACCAGATCAGGCTGTGGATGCAGGATTCAGCACAGCAGTGAGGGCATGTCTGAGCACACCAGCTGAAGGGAAGTGTTGTTTCTCAGCTGTTACAGGGCAGCCTTAGAAGAAAGTGCAGAGAAAGGCACTTCACAAATAAAACATCCTGCAGCTTCTTGCAAGTGGATAAAAAGAGCAAAATCAGACTTCCCTGACAGAACTGAGGATTACTGCAGAAACAGCACTGTCTCAAGCCTTGAAACCATATTTTAAATGCTCCCCAGCTAAAAGCATGACCCAGACACAAACATCAAGACATTTGGGACTACAGCTACAATACTGCAGAAGTGTGCCCAAACAGAAATGACTGCTCCACACAGAACAAGTTGTCACAGCACCCTGCTGACTGGTGCCAGCTCCATTTGCTGGGAAGCAGTGCCAATTTGCAACTGCTCCATTTGGATAAGCCACTAAATGCTTGAGCCCGTTCACAGCCACATCTCAGGCAGAGGGCACTCACCTCAGTAAGTGGAGAGTCCATCATTGCAACGAAAACAGAAGGGTCTGCACCAATGGAGTTACCAGCAGAGCATGTTTTCCACCTGGCAATACACATTTTACTTGCATATTGCCCAAACGACAGTGAAATACATTGCCCATCTTCCTTAAGCACATACCAAGTCACCACTATCTGTATAATCAGACAGCTGGTCTCTTGGAAAAAGACAAAATCATCACTGACATCAATCCCTCCTCCCCCAAGCAGCAAGAACCACCATCAGTCCTTCTCCCAACCTCCTCCACACTGCACAATTCTACAGAAAGCCAGTGGCAAAAGCTTTAAGAGCTGCTGAGTTTTTTTTGCTGCAGACTGCCTGCCTCTGCATCTTCAGGAGCATCCTTATCTTTTAAAATATTCACTGACAATAGCTAGCTAGCTTTCATAACCTTCTGCAGTTCAATCTCAGTTTTAAAGATCGAAGGAGGGAGCTTGATAAGCAAAGACCTTGGAGCTCCCTCTCTAAACTCTGCAAAAAAATAGAGACAACTCCTCAAAGTCAATAGCATTTTGGCTCCTAAATGAGAGTGTCAGTTATGAAAGTTAAATACTGAAAATAGACACAAGAACACCTACATCATGCCTCAGTTCTCCAGCATGAACTGGAAGCACCATCGCTGCATTTGGCTGATGGTTGTACCCACAGTGGCAGTAAAAAGTTTTGGTATTACCCTGGTGAACATGTCACCCCCTAACACCATTAGCTGATCACTGAGTGTCCAGTATTTCCTATAAGAGATGCCCCACTGCTGATGTCAGCATGCACTGGGGGATACAGTTTTCCCTTGGAACCTGCTGGATCCCACAGGCTTCTCCACCCTTCACCCCAAAGAAGCTGTTCTACCATCTTACTTGCACCCCGCTGCTGTCACATCTGAAGTGGCCACATGTCTCAGGTTCCAGCTTTCCAAAGTGCAGCTGTTGGGGCTGTGGCTAAAAGGCTGATCCCAGCACTGCACAGCAGAGTTACTGGAGCATGAAATTTCCAAGTTCAGAGCATCTGTCAAGAGAGACAAGTGTGAAGAGTGGCAGTCATGGGCAAAGTGGGAATTAGTCACGTGGCAGTTTTTTATTAAGTCTAAAGTAATAAAAAAGTAGACCAACCAAATACAGATTTATAATAAGGCAGCCTCCAACTTGGTATGAAAGGGTTAGGCTATGTGGCCTTCATATGTTTTGTAGATGGAGGGTCAGCAGAACCTGTGGAGGGGGATTTTCCATCAGTCAGGTTATAGAAACTTCCAGGTAGGACAGCTTTGTTGTAGTGAATTGCTTTGTGTGGCAGAGAAGGCAAGGAAAGAGGGGGTTTTTGTGTCCACACTTGACTGATGCAAGCCAAGAACACCTGCTTTGTTTGTGGCAGGACTGTGATATTCCAGTAAGTTACAAGAACACTGAGTTGTCCCACTAAAACAGCCCTTTGAGAGCAGCAGAGCACTCTGATAAGGAGTGTGTGCAAGTCAAACAAGGTCTTCTTCCATTTCCCCCGGGACAGTGAAGAATTACTTTTTAGTATTTTACAGTTTGTGTGGGAACAGACCCTGTGTTGTACCAGCTTACTCTGGAAGTAGACTTGGCCTATAAAATCCAGAACACACTATGCAGACGTGGCTCTGCAGTGCAGACCTGTCTGTGGTCACTTCTAATATTCATAAGGCTGAAGAGGTGCAGGCAAGTAGGAACAGCTTAGGAACACAGGATAAATTGACAGATACAATTATTTGATTATCAGCAGCTAAACTATCCTTTCAGGTTTTTAAACTAGGACTGACTAGTAGCAAAATAACAGGACATGATTTGCTATGGCAACCAGTACCAGTCAACAGGGTGAATGGGAAGAATACAACTCAAGCCCTCTTGATCCAGACTGGCAGGCATCTTGTCAGGAGTCTGCTTGGGTGTATAATTATACCATTCCTTAAGCTTTTGAGGACTCCTGTTAAGTTGACAGGCAGCCACCTTTTCAGGCCACTGGTTGCAATCATTATAAACATGGTCCAGCCTTCTGGATTA